GCATCATTGCTAGTGATACATCAGATAAGGGGTTAATTTCCAAAATATATAGAGTGCTCATACAATTCAACAAAAGGAAGACAAAGAACCCAATTGAAAAATGGGCAAAGGACCTAAATAGACACCTCTACAAACGGGACATACAAATGGCCAAGAGACATATGAAAAAATGTTCAACATCACTAATCATCAGAGATGCAAATTAAAACAACAATGAGGTATCACCTCACACCTGTCAGAATGGCCGCCATCAACAAATCATCAAACAACAAGTGTTGGCGAGGGTGTGGAGAAAAGGGGACTGTAGTACACTGCTGGTGGGAATGCAGATTGATGCAGTCACTGAGGAAAACACTATGGTGTTACCTCAAAGAGTTAAAAATTAAACTGTCATTTGACCCAGTGATCCCACTTCTAGGAATATACCCTAAGAAGCCTGAAACACCAATCAGAAAGAATATATGTACCCCCATGTTCATAGCAGCTCTGGTTACAATAGCTAAGATCTGGAAACAGCCCAAGTGTCCATCAGTAGACGAATGGATAAAAAAGCTGTGGTACATATACACAGAAAGAAAGATCTCTTATCCTTTGAGACGACATGGAGGGACTTGGAGAGTATTATCCTAAGTGAAACAAGCCAATCAGAGAACGATAAATATCACATGATTTCACTTATTTGTGGAATATAACGAACAAAACAAACTGATGAATAAAACAGACCCAGAGACATAGAAGTAGGATACAGACTGAAAAACCTCAGAAGAGGGGGTGGGGGTGGGGAGGGAACAGATAAACCACAGAACTTATATGCATGTACGCATAACCAATGAACGCAGACAACAATGCTGCGGACGGGGTGGGGGTGGGGCATTGGGAGGAGGGTGTCAATGGGAGAAAAAGGAGAAACATCTGTAACAAAAATAAATTAATAAAAAACTTTTTTTAAAAAGTTAATTTTAGTCTCTTTACATTCTACATGAGACAGAAAATCAAAGCACCTAAAATAAGACTCAAGGGTAAGATGATGATTACAAGATACGTTGAGAATGGTAAATTACTATTATTTTTAAAACAAGGTGGTTCTACACATTTTTGTTGTTGTAAACTTTTAAACCCATGGGAATTATGAGAAAAATCAAAAGTATATATGAGTTCTGGCTCATTTATACCCATTACTCATCAATTTAAACGAATAACTGAATGTTCAAAAAACCTTTTGTTCTTAGAGAGAAATACTGTTTAACAGCCAGAATCTAACTCACACAGACTTAAGTGTAACCAAATATGCTGAACCAATACAGCCTACAGAACCCCGAAGGGGTGGCGGTAAGTTCTGGGCACCCCGGACACAAAGTGGTTTTACCCTGAAATAACACAAACGTGCCAGAGCTAATCAGCCCCTGCGCAACCCAAGAGCGTAACATGACCATCTCCACCCATCTCCTTTCCCCACATCTAATCATTTGTTTTTGGCTTTCTGGCCTCATGATGATGGAAATTCTGCAGAGTTATGAATTTTCAGAAAGAAATGATTAAAAAGTTTCACTTAGTGAGAAGACAGCGTTAAAAACGATGACAGACATTCCTAGGGCTCTGCTGCGTGTGTGTACGTGTGAGCCTGTATATCTGTGTGTGCGTGTGCATGTGCATGATGAATTAACAAAGAGAAAACCCAGCAATCTCAATAAATTAAACAAGGTAAAAGGACAAAGAAGCCCTAGTGTCACACAGCCATTCCAAACAGGATGTCTTGTTTTTCAGGAGCAATTTGGCTACAAAAATATTTGAAAAAACAACCAAGTAAAAGCAGAAAACAAACACAAAATTCTGAATTGCTCCAGTGCAAATAATGCAACACCGCGATGTGATCGAGAAAACAACTCGTCACAGTCATCAAAGTCCTAAGCACTTAACTCAGTGAGACGTCTAACACAGCACGATCATCACCCTGTTCAACGTCCCCTCAACCTGTACAGGTCAGTGGTGATCGCCCGGGCAGTCCGCAAGGCCTTCGTCAGGCTCCAGCCAAAGGGCAGAGTTCAGTCCCTACAGGAAAACTGCCCTGGACAGCAGGGGATGGAGAAATCAGGACTGGAAGGACCTTCCCCTTCCATGTACTAAGAGGGCGTTACAGAAGTCCCACGCACAGCTCGTACTGCAAGATGCCTTGGGCGTTCTCGGACCTGGCCTCCCAGCCTCCCCATGAACACCTAGCAAAACCACCAAACATGCTATTCTCTGCTTTCACCTTCCCTCGAACCTTTCCACTGGCCAAGGCGGTGTCAGAGGCTCCCAGCTGAGCCTTAGCTCCTTGCTCTGCGTTATCCAGAGAAATCACTCCTCTGCTTGGCAGCCGGCCTTTCTCCTAGCCAGATGCTAGCATTTCAAAAGACTCATTTGAAAAGAATGGCTCCTCTTGAGAGCACAAGTTTATAATTACGATTACAAGGCATTTGAAAAGTGCTCTAATAATAGAGTTTCAAAAGAATATATTGGTAATGGAACACATTAATAACTATGAAGGGAGGCAGTAATTCATGCCTGCCATTCTGTACCCACAGGCTAAAACCAGCCTGATGGAGCACCGCCCACCGCTGGCCTCCTGGGCATGTCTGCATGTATTGTTACTGTACCTGCTCACTTGGCCTCGGGCCCAAGTGCAAGAGGGCTCAACCTGTTCAAATTTGAACTCATTTTCTAATCCTTATTGGTTCCTTCTGCTTTTGATTGGGAAAGAGTGACCGGCCACCTAGCTGTTCTTGTCACACTCCTTTCTCTCTCTTTTACTGCCATTATTCAACTGGTCACCCAGTCCTACCAATTGTCACTTGCTTATTTTCCCCGACTTTCCATTCTATTTCTGTCTTAGTTCAGAACCTTTACCTCTCTTGCCCAGGTTCTAAAACATCTGTTCATAAGTCTCCTTGCCTCCAAGTTAGTTCCTAATGAATTAAAAAAAATTTTTTTTTTCTTTATTGATTTTTAGAGAGAGATAAAAATAAAAACATCGATGAGAAAGAACATCAACTGGCCACCTCCTGCATGCCCCTCACTGGGGATTGGGCCCACAACCTGGGCATGTGTCCTGACCGGGAATCGAACCGGGAACCTCTTGGTGCATGGGTCGATGCTCAACCACTGAGCCACACCAGCCGGGCCCTAATGAATTTTTCATCTACTGTTCCTTTCTAACTAGCTTCTAAAATATAAGGCTTGCAAACAATAAAATCATAAACATATATGAAAAAACACAAGTGTATATTTTTATAATCTTGGAGCAGGAGACATTTCTAAGCATAACCTAAAACCTAGAAGGCATAAATATAGTTACTAAAGAAAAACCTTCTGTAAACTAAAGGACCCTAAAATCAAAGGTAAACCAACAATGGGGAAACATCTGCCACATGGATGGCAAGGGACATGCCAAGTTCCTTAATATGTAAGGAGTTCTTACAGCTCACTAAGAAAAAAAACGATCTATACATTCAAAATAACATCTCCAGTCCATCTCTTGCCCATACCAGGAGAGGAAAAGCTAATGCAAATATTTACAAAGTGTGACGATGGCAGAGTGCCCTGTAAAGACCAGGTATTAAAAAATTGATTAGACAGCACTGTTAGCAAATCTGCTTCCAATGCCCTGCCTAGATTCAATGCCATCACATGTCAACAATGAGATACCGGTGAGCCGTTGAAAATGCCTTTGGAACACAGTGGAGCACGCTCGTACGGAACAGATCTTTGCCTGCATTATTAATGTTTTAGCTGTGAGCCAGAAGGTTAAGTCTTCAGGAACATTTCTGAACTCACACAACACCAAACCCTACCATTCCATCAGCACAGCCTGAGCTAGGAGGCTAGAACAAATGCCCATCAGATGAAATGAACTAGGGGAACTAAGTGAGAAAACAATATCCCCTGACAAGAAGGCAAAGAATCAACAGAGCGATGCTGCTGACATAAATGCCACAAAGACACCGACTCCACCCAGGCAGCTGACCATCCGACCCCAGGTACTAAATGCAGAGAGTACAGGTGATTCATTTTCCAGATGAGGTGGCAAATCTGCTGCACCCTTAGGAAGAATAAACTCTGTTAGGAAAGCAAACAATTCAAGATGCTGAGGTAGCTTTTTATGTGAATCTGCAGCGCAGGCCACTTCACCTACTGCAAGATGACCAAGGATGTAAGGCAAGAGCCCTGGATGGTATAGGTGTCCATTTGCTAAAACAGCATTGTAACGGAAGTGGAGACTAATGGAGTGCAATCATGAGTAAATTTGAGGAAAACAAGGGAGCTTCACCCAACCAAACAGCACTGGAAATCTGAAGTTTTAACCAATTATTTCCCAGCCTTGAAAACGTAGAGCTGTACTGAAGGACCCTAGTATCAGAACACCACCAATCTAGAACAGCTGGTCAGTTTCTGAATAAATGACATTGTTGTTCGAACTGTCTTTTGTTCGTAAGCACTTAAATCACAGTGTTGTTGAGTTTATGACAGAGAAATGAATTCAATTTTCTAAACAGCTCTAAAAAAGGAAAGTTGTGTTTTTTACATTTCTGACCTGTACAATGAATTTGCAGAAATTCTGACCCTGACTGATCGTTTCTCAAAACCCACTTGATCCTATCATTTGCTTTTGGTGAAATTAATACAATATTCTCTCAGTAAATCTGGAGGCATAGGAAACCAGTGTTCATTTTATTCGGGGCAGACATGGGCCCAGTGGTTTTCGGCAACGGGCATGTCATATGGAGATCTATGATGTGATTATAGGTGGCCCAGGTCAGAAGGTCAGAAAACATATTACTGAAATAATACTTAACAACTTGGGCTTTTTCTCTGGCAGACCTAGAAGGCACAATAACTTATATCCTAAATTAAAAACCAAAGAGCACACAGCACAAAATCTACTTAAAATGAACATGATTCTTTTCTCAGGCCTCCGGTTTTTAAAAATACCAACTTTGGGATGGATAAACGTGGCGACTCACTCTGGGAAGCATAAAGGCCCTCCACAGCTCTGTCTTCGTGCCCATCATACTCCCTGCTGGACAGCTGCCTGTTAGCAGTCTCCAGGCGATCTGTGCACAAAGAGAAAATGATGATGAAGAAATGCATACAGATCTAAGTCATCATCAACCAAGAAACGACACGGGAGCGGAGAGCTGGGTATGAAAAATGCTCAGGCTGGAGCCCCAAACTGAGCAACTTTGGGGGCAGAACAATACATTCCGAGATGTCAGAAGTCTTCAGGTGACACACTGTGCCTTAAGTGATGGAATGCCAAGGCACCACAAGCAGGTGCAGCTAAGAACAGGTTCTTAGAAAAAAATGCTTGGCGGTCTATGAGCAAACCTCTGATTTGAAGTCCTTGCAAAGGGGTTGACTCTCCTTGGCTGCAAACCCAGCCCTCGTCTAACCCTGACCATGAGCCCTCTGTTTTAGCCTGTGACTGCTACCTGTATCTTGGAACCAAGAAAAAATTAAAACAACAATTAAATAAATACAAAAAACAAAACAAAACAAGCCTGGCCAATGTGGCTCAATGGATTGAGCATCACCCCATGGACTGAGAAGTCCCGGTTTGATTCCTGGTCAGGGCACATGCCCAGGTTACAGGCTTGATCACCGCTGGGGGGCATGCGGGAGGCAGTCAATCGAAGTCTTTCTTTCACATCAATGTTTCTATCTCTCTCTCCCTTCTTCTCACTCTAAAAAAAAATCAATAAAAATCGTATTTTTTAGAAAAAATCAAAATGGCCTAATGGATGAAGATTGTATACAGTTCTACATTTGCAAATCACTTGGTAAATCTCCATTTAGTCAGTTAAATAATTCAGCTTAACCAGTCTTCATTTAATGTATAAGATAAAAGGCTTGCAGTAATAGAAAAAGTAGGATCGGGCTACTAAAGAATACATACGAGGCAACTGAAAACTGGTTTGGCGACCAAAAGTGAAGCTGTTTTATGGGTTAAATCATTCTGTGTGTTGGAGGTGACCAAGGCCCTGCAGCAGGTGGCTTCTAGCTTTGGGGAATATATATATCTGTGGGCCTTTATTTTCCCCAAGGGGATACCTGTCTAGCTCTGTCTTCTGTACTATACCAAGCAGGTGCTGAGTGTTGGCTTTCTAAGTGTGCTACCAAGTGACTCGGCTTGATGTGGGAAGGGCTGTGCATCCAACACCGGTCTTTTCAATGTTCTCACTCACACAGTCAAGAGTCACAGGTAAGTACTTTTCAAGCAAGAAGAAGCTGCACACACAGTCCCTCAATTCTCACTCAGGCTGTCTTTTCCCAGGCTCAGCGCTGCAACCTACCACCTACCTACACAGCAGAAAAGAGCAACTCTGCTCCTTCAGTGCCCTTTCCCCCCGTGGCTGGAACTTCTACGGTTATCTAACACAATCTGGACCTGAAGTCACGGGGGCTGGGGGCAGAGAGAACGTGAACGGAACGCCACGTGCCTCGGAGGTCTCTGTTGAAGTCATGAAGTCTTCGGATCTCGCCCTCCAGCTTGTTTCTCATCGCCTTGTCCAGTGACTCTCGCTTGGTGGTAGACTTGACCAGACTCTCGTAGGCTTCCGAGATTCTCTGAAGTTCTTTTTCAAACTAAAAGAAAGAAGAGGCATGAAAGTGGGACTCTGGCATCACATCGGTGCCTTAGTTACACAAACCCTCTGACCTTCGGAGTGTGAAGGCTGTACCTTCAATGCGGCCTTTTCTGCATCTAAAGACTCAGGTCTCCCGAGTTGTGCAACCAAACACCCCCACCCCCGTCGGCCTTCTAAGGGCCATGTTAGGACCCTGGAAATAGCAGGCTCACAAGTCTGGTTGGACATCTGATGTCACCTTGGAAAAAATCAGAAAGGGGTGAATTTAAACGTAACTTAAGCCTCTTATATTTTGTATGGCAATTTATAACTATTATTATTATTATCCTCATTCAACATAAGAAACAATATTAAAATGCAAAACAACTAAAGGACCACAACTGGAGCCCAAATTTCCAGACTCCAAGAACAGTGTTCTTTCGGAGAACTCCCTACCCCCCCAAGGAACATAAAACCCACTTGCAAAGACAGTCCTTTGCTTAGCATTTTAACCCTTTTTCTATGAAACTATCTACATAAAGGACTAATGGACTTGAATCTGATTATAAACAAATGTACAACAGAAAACCTCTTTGTATGAAGGAACTGAAAAATATGGTATTCAAACCATTTTTTGGTTGTTTTTCTCTTTTTGTATTTAACAAATCAAGAGCTGTAACTGGGAGAGTGTTTAATCTACAGCATATATAAATCTGTAATAAGTAGCTGTAACTGTGATAACAGGAGTCTAACATATAGTGTGTGTTTAATTTTTTTTTTCCTTTATTGATTTGAGAGAGAGAGAGAGAGAGAGAGAGAGAGAGAGAGAGAAACATCGATGAGAGAGAAGATCGACTGGCCACCTCCTGCATGCCCCCCACTGGGGATTTGGCCCACAACCTGGGCATGTGCCCTGACCGGGAATTGAAACGATGACCTCTTGGTGCGTGGGTTGATGTTCAACCACTGAGCCACACCAGCTGGGCCATATAGTATGTTTTTGAAGTACTTATTAATAAATCCCATTTTAGCGTTATGTAACATTAATGCAGGAGGAAGGATAAAGAGCATTTGCAAACATGCAACCTTGATGAACTGCTAAAAGTCTGAATCAGAGGCAAGGCAGGCAGGGTTGAGAGCACTAGTACCCCTCACTGGGCACCAAGAGACCTGCACCAGGCCTTTGGTCTCCACAGGAGAGTTATGTCACCATGAGCCAGGCACCCCAATTGCCCCAAAGTTCCCTGCTGAGGCTCCTATATATGAAACATATCCTGCCCTAGCCAGTGTGGCTCAGTTGGTTCGGCATCATCCCTTACACCAAAAGGTGTTGGTTTGATTCCCAGTCAGGGCACATGCTCAGGTTTCAGGCTCAATCCCCAGCAGAGGGCATGCAGGAGGCCGCCTATAGATGTTCTGCTTTCATATTGATGCTTCTCTCTTCTCCTTTCCTCTGTCTCTAAAATTAATAAACTATTCTTAAAAAAAAAAAAAAAGACTGCTCATAAATAAATAAATAAAACAAACCTATCCTAACAGGTGTCTACTGTATGCTCACTATGTGTCTGGGTACCATGGATACAGAGATAAGTGAGACAGTTTCTGGTTGTTAGGACTCAACATGTAGAGTCGGCCTGCACCCAGGCACACCCACTGCTCCGCTGCAACGTGATAGGGGTGTGGCGGTGTGCGGCCACGGCAGCCAAGAGAAAGTCGTTTTGCAGGGATGAGAGGAGTTCCTTAGGTTTCAGAGAAAACACCTTGAAAATGAATCTTGAAGAATGACTAGGTTTTCGCCAAGCAGAAAAGACCAAAGGGCTTTGGCATCCTAGGCAAAGACAGACCGTAAGCCAAGACGAAGCAGTGAAGGAAAACGCGTGTCACAGACATGTCAGGTGGTCCAGGGGATGAGCGCAAGGGCCAAGTGGCAGGAGCAGGGCCAAGTGGCAGGGCTTTGTGGGCACGGGAGAAGTGTGGGGAGGACACGCCACCATATAAGCAGAAGGGCAGCGTGATCTTAGCTGGGGTCTCACAGAGATCAACCAAAGGGTGGGGTTGGAGAGTGGGGGTGGGGAGACAAGGCAGGAGAAAAGAAGTCCAAGTAAGAAGCTAATGTAAATGGTTCAATGACAAAGAGGAAACTAGGATAATAAAAGGGTAAATTCCAAAGACCCTAAGGAGCAGAATCAACAGGTTATGTGCTTGTAGCTACCAAGAGAGAAAGGGCAACAGTCTTAGTTCAGGAGAAGGTACTTCCTGTGAGAAAGTAGCTGTAGACAGATTAGTGTCCTTCATTGTGGCCAGAGGACAAAAAAATGACTACATGTAGGAAGATGCAGATTTTGGTTCAACATAGGAATTCCCTACCTACATTTTCCAGAAGTATACTATGCCCAGTAGTGAGCTTCTCATCCCTGGAAGCATTCAAGTAAAAAATGAATGACCTCCTTTCAGGGACATGAAGCAAAGATTCCCAAGCGGTGGAAAATTGGACTAGAATCATTTTCAGATTTTTAAGTTCAAAAATCTGATGTCTAATTGCACACTCCTTCAGAACGAGAGCCACACCCTCTTCTTCAAATCCCTCCTGTCTGGAGCATCTTAAGTCCTCCCTGAAGTTCGTTAAAGACAAACGGCTGGACAGACTGGCTTTGATATAAAACCCACTGGGGCAGTTCAGAGCCTGAGTGTGATCTTATGAAGAGAATACTGGGTTTGCCTTCACAACGCCCATCCTCCAGCCCAGAGGTCAGGAAGCTCCAGGCCAGGTCGTTGGGAGCCCGTGAACGCACGGCGAAGCACCCATGGTCCCAGGGACAGAACTGTGAGCAGAGCGGAAAGCCCAGCCGCCATGAAGCGAGTGGGCAGAGAAGGGCCCTGAGAAAGTCTCAGCCATTCTAAGCTCTGGATATTGGCGTTTTCCCTGAACACCTTCCTATGCACAGTTCAGGGACCCATAGGACCCAGGACAGGGCTGCCGTCCAAGTCACAGGCTGCCAGATCGGAGCCACCGCTGTCATTCTGACAAGACAGGGTCTTCACTACAGCAGGCCTCGGGTGCCCGGCCACGCCTTCAAGCCCTTTCCCTCCAAGCGTCCACCTACGCCCTGATGGCTTCTGAGGCCAACCCACGCATCGCCCACAGTCTGGTCCTGCTGGAAGTGCCATCCGTTAATGTTTCAGGGAAACTGGGAGGAAAGAGAAATAAATGAGTGGCCAAAAGGAAATGCTGAAAAAACAACCACTAACTGTGATCATTCCAACACTAACAGTGATAATCAGCACCCGCGCCCCTGGACCAGGGCCTCCCACCCCGGCGGTGCTCTGGCAGTCTCAGAGTCCAGCGTCCTTCCTGCCGTGTCCCTGGCACAGTGTGCCCGGCTAAGCCCTGCAATCAAACGTCTTCTAGTTTCGGTTCTACCCTTACAATGACGCTCTCCGAGCGCTCTCAGAACACGAGGGTCCCAGACCAGATGTGACTGCTGGCACAGGGCGGCCCCGGGGTCCTCATCACGGAGAAGCAAAGCTGTCACCTCCCCTGACAGTCCTCTGCCCAGACCTGAGGCATAAGCAGCTGCTGAGAGACAACTGAGCGGTGAGGCTGGCCGAGGTCGACTCGGGCGCACAGCCTGAGATGCTGTCAGAGTCCGCGGCTCCTCTGCCTGGTCTTAGTGGAGAACAGCTAGAGAACTTGACGGTACAGCGAGCCGTTGTCAAATCTGAGTCTTCAAGCCGACAATTCCAGGGTGACATATGACAGGTCAATGAAATGTAGTATCTATAGAACCACTTATGATATTCAAGGAGTTTGGGGTTCCAGAAGGCAAACAGCTTTTGAATTTTCTCATTTTTCAGAAGTCATCAAAATCCTTTTTGCCATTAAGAATCATCCCCTGTGCAGGGAAATTACATCACTGGGAGATGGATTTTGTGTTTCAAAATAGTAATGTGGGCCCTGGCCAGGTGGCTCATTTGAGTAGAGCGTCATCCCAATATACTAAGGTTTTGGGTTCGATTCCTGGTCTGGGCACATACAAGAATGGACCAATGAATGTATAAATAAGTAGAACAACAGATCCATCTCTCTCTCTCTATCCCCTGCCTCTAAAAAATCAATAATAATCATAATAATCACAAATAGAAGTGTGCATCAAAATCAAGAAAGAGATGCATGCTACAGGTCAATAATGCATACACTATTAAATAAGTCAACGAAGAACAACAAAACCTCTCAACCTCTGCTCCCTCCATGTAACTGTTCAAATATATCCATGTGAAAAGACTCGGAACCAAGCTCTGCCCTCAGGTGGGTCTGCATAACTGCTGGCTGTGTCCGCCACAGAGCCAGCCCTATTAGGGAGAAGAATGAGCTACTTATTTCCCAGAAGTGCTGAGCTGGCCCTTTCCAATTTCCAGACCGTACCTGGAAAGACGCTGCCCGGGGAGGTGTCGGAGGCAAGCTCGGGCCTGAGTGGGACTTACAGCCCAGGCCGGGAGACAGCAGGCTTGCTTCCCACCTCCTAAGGGTGTGACTGAGTGGGAGTGAGACAGCAATCTTTAGGCAGCCCGTTGTTTCTGGCTCTCATTTTTTTCCTCTCCAATGAAGGCAGCCCGGGCCCTCTGAGCCAAGCCTGGTCTTGACTCGGGGGAGCTCCAGACCATTCCAGTGGAAGCTGGGCACCAACATGCTGGGGCACATTCTGTCTGTGCACATGTTTATCATCAAACCCACTGCTCCCAGCTGCTTACCACCAGCCTCAAAAACACAGAGTTGCTGACTGCTCTGAAACCCTGACCCGCAGAGAGAACAGGCTTTCCCTGAGAGATCAGTATAAACAGTGAGCACTAAATGTCCAGGCAGGAGCACTACTGCCATACAGAACCAAACAGCGCTGCTCCTGTCATCAGGCAGGGCTTAACTTCCACCCTTCCTCTTTACCAAGCCCTTGACTGTCCAGGGCACAGCCAGGCACTTAGCCTTCCGCCACACACGCCTCCTTGCCTGCAGAAGGGAAACTCCGGTGCCCTGTGGCTCTGCTGCCTTAAACGCCTATGACCTTGGTCCTCCTCTGTCGTCTGTTCTACCTGCAGCATTTCAAGTGCTGACACACGGGTCATCATGAAATCACTGCCTGGAATGTTCACTCCTGCTGGCTTGTTTTCCTATTGACTCTGGCTCTTCACATAAAGCCCTAAGGAGGAAGGCTGCCATACATTCTAATATTCCCACGATAACTACACGGGCTGGAACTACACGAGCATAGAGACAATGCACAGTAACTCTACCCTCAGCGTTGAGACAATGCTGCTTTTGCAGAGACCAGCTAATGAAACAGCACGACAGTCACAGGGCTCCTGAGAGCCCCAGATTTAAAGGCAAACCTGTCTCTCGAAACTCACTGCCCCATGCTCCTCTCAGTGTTCCCTCTTCCGCACTGTCCACCTGGGGAAATGCTTCTTGGCCTCTGAGTCTCAGGTCCAGGACCACCTCCGCGGTAGCTACTGTAGCCCCCGAAGTTCTACTGCAGGCATCAGCATCGGGAGCTCTCCCCTTCCGGGCTGTAAGCTCCTCCAGCGGGCACCATGCCATGTTTATTTTTTGTGTCCTTAGAGCCTTGCACAGCATCAGGCATAAAAAGGGATCTAGTTAACCATTGGCAAGTGGGCCAGTGAATCAAACCCCATGAGCAGGTAAAGAATTCCGTCCCTTCGAAAGAACCCCTCCCTCCCCTTCCCTTGGGAAGTCACATACCTTGTGGAGCTTGTCGGCATTGTCGTAGTAACCCTGCAGTTCCTGGTGAAGCACGCGGTTCTCCTCGGTTAGTATCTCCACCATCTGCTGGGCTCGCTCCACAATCGCAAACGCATCTGGACCGAGCTGCTGGCTGGGGGAGGCGGCGGGCGGGGGCTGGGGAGCGGCCAGGGTCACTGGCAGTGGAAGCGGCAAGGAGGTGGGGTGCAGAGGCCCGCTGACGGAGGAGTTCTGGGAGGACATCGGGCTGTGCTGCTGCACTGTTGACGGGAAAGGAAGTTGGCATGGGCGGCTGCAAGGGAACAGGAGACCAGGAATTAGACCCCAGGGAAACGGCGGAGGAGGAAGAAAGGCCCAATATACGCACCGTGGACTTCCACGACCAGAGGTCATCGATGAACTTTCCAGTGCGGGCTGAGGACACACAGCAGGTTCAGTCCTCATTCCACAGACATTTACTGCCCCCCTCGGAATCAGCACTGTTCTGGTCATGGGGTACAGTGAACAAGACAGAGAAGGCCCCTGTCCTCATGAGGCTTACATTCTTAGGGAGCGAGACGGGCAAGCCGTCAGACAATAAACAAAGCCGGGTATCGAGAAGTAAGGCGTCCTCTCCGAAAACAGAGCAGTGACGTGACCGTAAACGAACAGTGGCTGGTTCACACTGAGAGGTCAAGGAAGGAGCCTGTGCTTGAGTTGAGTCTGAATGTCAGACGAGTGGTTGGGGAGGGAGGAGAGAAGTGGGGAAAGGCGTCTTCCAGGTAGGGGGATCGGCCAGTGCTCGGGCTAAAGCAGGACTTAGCGTGGGCAAGACCGAGCAGGGGAAAGCAATCGGGTACATGCACACCAGCAAAAGCGGTGACAGCAAGACCAGAGGAATGGACAAGGGTCTTTGCAAGCCGAGGCCAGCCCTTCCCTTAGGGTGTAAGCCAAGGCCGGAGGAGAAGCCGCCTTCACCCCGACTTCTGTACAGATGGTGCACTCGGTGGCATAAATGGACAAAAGGTGACACTGAGGACGCCCAGGTGTGGTCTAGGTGGGAACCGACGAAGGCTCACGGGGCAGGAGCAGAAGAGAAATATGGATGGATTTGGGATATGTTCGATATATAGATCATGGGTGGGGGAAAGACAGTGAGGAAAATTAAAAAAAGAAAAAAAAACGACTCCTAGATTTTGGGCTCCACATAAGTGGATGGGGTGCCACTGAATGAAATGGTGAAGTCCGGGAGAAGGAACTAATTTTTGGTGTTTTATGTGCTGGGTGAGGCGGTGTGGAAATCAAGTCTAGTTTTAGCCATGTGAAAAGAACACAGAGAGGTGTCCCTTGATTGTTCAAATCCCAGGTCTAGCTCCTACATTTAAATCATGAATTTCCACCTCCTGTCTCCACTCCCTAACAACCCCCTCCTCATTCCTGCTAACCTGTTTCATAAGAACCAGTGTATTTTCTTTTAGCCTCAGCTGAGGCCGTGTAACAACCTGTACAGGTGTAAACATTTAGCAAAGACAGTCTCAATACCTCGCGCCCCAATCCCAGCTGTCTCTCTTCTGCAGGGTCTTGAGAAAACAAGATTTCTTGTTGACCCTTCAACCTTTAGGTCTCAGTCTGGGAACAGGGGTACTAAGAATTATCAGCAACCCCCAAATCATCAACATTGTCTCAGAGGGCTGAGTCCTCTGGAGATCCAGCTCCTTCCAATCAGTAACAGTTTTCCTGTGTCCCCTGCGGGCACTTGTGGCCATCCATAGGCGAAGCTCTCAGGGCTCCCCCATTTTCCCCAGGGGTCACCTGGCCTTGTATTTTCAAGGATACTTGCTAGAATGTTTTGGACCCTGTCAGCCTCCGAATCTCTCATTTCAAGCAGTTCTTGTGGTCAGGATTCCTCTGAATGCTGACTCCTGGCAGCTAAATGTCAAATTCTGGAGACAATTTGACAAGGGTCGCCCTAGCCCTCCCTACGTGGACACACAGACATTCACAGAGGTGACCACAGAATAAACCCGGCAGACCCTAACAGAGTAACCGACCAAAGGCCTTGCTTTGGTAGTGAACTAACAGCAGAGGCTCCACCTGGGTTGGGGAGACATCTGCCGACCAGATTTCCTCGTGCCTTCAATCCAGGAGCGCTTCCCCTCCAGCGAAAAGGGCTGGGATCTAAGTTCCCCAAGGCAGGGTGACCCATGGAGCTCAGTGTGATCCTTGACTCTACGTGAGCTTCACCTTCCGGTCATCCTCAGGTTTCAGAAAGGAATGCTGCCACCGGGGAGATGTAACCCACCCCTCGCCCTCGCTCTCCACACGCTTACAGGGACCTGCCATCTCTTTTTTTTTTATTATTATTTTTTTTATCCTCACCCGAGGACATTTTTTGTTCAGGTACAGTGGGAGGAAGAGAGAGAGAGAGAGAGAGAGAGAGAGAGAGAGAGAGAGAGAGAGAGAGAAACATCGATGTGAAAGGGACACATCGAGTGGCTGCCACCCGCACGACCGACCAGGGCCGGGGACAAACTGCAACCAAGGTACACGCCCTTAGCGGGAACCGAACCCGGGTCTCTCGGGACCGCAGGCCGACGCTCCAACCGCTGAGCCAAACCGGCCAGGGCGGGACCTGCCATCTCTTTAGAAATAAAACGTCTGTGCACGTTGAAGGATCGGGGCCCTTCCACACTGAAGTGTGTGTGGCGTGTGTCAGCCCGTGTGTACGAGGAGGTCTGTGTGTAAGGTCCAACTCTATTCCAAGCGCGAAATGCCCCCGAGAGCCATTTCACCCCAGATCCCAGGTTCTCCTATCAGGCATGAACCCACAAAAACCACAGATCTGTTACTGAATAAGTGCATTCCCGAAGGCTGGCTAAATCCTACCGTGCATTTGTCATGGAAAGAGGTTACCTTGGCAAAAGGCAAAATAACCACAAACTACACTGCCTCGTTCAAAGGCAGACACCCATTCCCACCTCTTAGGTGTTCCCTTCACACTGCGTCCAACGCGAGGGATAAACGGGGTGGTCTCCTGGGAGCCGAGGGCCCTCATGAGCCCACAGTCCTGTTTTCTGAAGCACCAGCGCTGCCCTCTGACCCACGCAGCTTCAATAAATTCAGCCTTTACTGAACCCTGGGATCTGGAACTCACTGATGGTCACTGATGGGCTTATCCTCTCAGTTATCTTTCTCTTATATGACAAAAAGGAAGTGCTTTGTTAATGCCGGCCTAAGTCATCCGTGAGTGGCAATGCAGAAACAGGCTGCTGCCAAGCTTAAGGGGCAGGAAAGAACAGGCTTTTCCAAACTGGGAAGTCTTCTATGAAACAGAGCACCCTGCCTCACAGATAGCTCGGTTAACATTCGGTCAAGTCCACATTACAATGGATGTTGGGCAGGCAAGAGAGCCAGCCCCTGTTCCGTGGCCCCACTACTCAGCCAAGCTTTGGGCTTAGAGTAAATGAGAGGGAAAGAGTGTTGGGAAAGAATAGAAAAATTTCGCACAAGATCATTCCAGTGCTATGAAACAACCTGCCCCCAGAGAGTACGCTATTGATCAGTCACCACTGGAGTATTTCATAGTAACGGGGACACAGAGAAATGGGGGAAAGGGGATGGAACCATCATTTATTGGGAAACTACCTGCAAACGGAATTCCACGCTATCATTGTCTATTCGTGGGCCTATTTCCCCTGTTAGACTGTGAAGTCAGAGAGCTAGCTTATCTGATATCATGTGTCTCAGTTTCCCGGGGCTATTTGCCATTTAATTCATCGTTACAGGACTGAAGGAGTTAATATGTATAAAGCCAGGCATAAAGTAAACACTGGACAAATGTTAGCTATTAATCACCATTACTACATTATCGTTTGTGTCCCACAGCCCCAGTACAGGGCCTAGCGCTGAGTGTGGCGCTCATGAGAAGTTCAAGAAACGCTGTCTGTTATGGCTAACACTTCCTGGGCACTTACGACAGTCCAGCCCGTGTGGCATGCACTGCTGCACGCATCGTCTCATACGGACCTAATCGACTGCCTCACAAAATGTTCAGATGAGAAAAACAAGGCACAGGATGGTAACTTGCGAAATACGTACGTGTAACAGAGATACTAGGAACATAAAGGAGATCCCAGCCCGGTTTGATTCCAGGTCCCCCCATGCAGCTCACCATTTCCTTGTACTGGTGAAAGCAGAGAGCAGGCAGCCCCTTTGGTCCTCTGTGCCTGGGTTCCTGTGGCCCAGTCTGAGCCTCCACCATGCCCATGATTCACACCCTAATACCTGAGGCTGCAGCAGCCTCAGGGAAATATGAAGATGGAAACCTGCTGAGTTGTTCCCTTTGCTGCTTCTATTCAACGTTATTATATTCACAGGTTAAGGTCTTCTCTACAGAGAACATTCAACCGACATTTATTGAGGGTCTGTGTTATCTGCCGGGCACCACATTTCATCACCTTGCTTAATCCTTATAAAAACGGAGGCAGGTAGCCCTGGCCAGTGTGGCTCTGTTGGTTGGAGCATCATCCCACACACCAAAAGGTGGTGGGTTCAATTCCTGGTCAAGGCATGTGTGGGAGGCCACCCATGGATGTTGCTCTCTCATTGGGATGTTTTTCTTTCTCTCTTTCTCTCTCTTCTCCCCACTTTTTCTAAAATCACTTTAAAAAACAAAAACAAAACTGAGGCAGGTACCACCAACACATTCTGCTCCTTTTCTCGAGGAATGCAGTGAGCCTGGGAACACCAAAGAAAGTGACCTTTTTCCATCTGCCATCAAACTGGCCAGTTATTTAAATACACGTGAGCAGGACTGAAAAAGCCTCTTCTCCCCAAACCCACAGTGATGTATTAAAAACAAGAATCACAGCATTTAAAGAACCACACCTAAGAGACAAATAGGGTCATACGGAGAAGCCCTGTAGGCTGGTCCCCACCGTCAGTGACTTGGACCATGCTGCACACACCAGCCCCAGCATGTGCACCCATTTCTCTCCTCCAGACTCACAGCCTTGCTGCTCCACACCCCTGGCACTCTCCCACCACCGGCCTTATTCTCGAGTTTTTATTTAAATGTAATACTTAATTTTTCAAAGATGTGTGTCTTTTCTCCCTGTTTACGAGGATAGAAAATTATGACTTACACTAAGTTGATGCCCATTAAATTGTTGTCAGTTGATTTGGTTCCAAGCCCAAGAGCAAGTCAGGAAACTATATATGCTTGGTGCACTTCCAAAGAATGGCTAAACCTTCCACATTGTATCATTAAGAAAGAGACTTCTGCTATTTAGAATCTCAAACCATGACAGTTGC